AGGAGGATATGCACATGAGAACACTGCAGAAACTTTGGGAAGAATATCTAAAACGGGGAACCTGGAAGAGCCCTAGAGGTTTAAAAATATTTCAAGTCCAAATGATGATAAAAGTTTCTTTGCCAAAAAGCTGAAATACTGTTAGATGTCTTGACCATGCCTCTGTATAACTGCAGCCATTTGTCGGCTGTGATCACTAGAGTAACTCAGATTATGCTTCTTTGAACGGGAAAGGATATTTTAAAGCAGTTTTGATTGAGCCTGTGTTCTCATAGGAGGAAAGGAGTTCCTAGAAAAAAGCTTTGAAGATTTAATATAAGATAAACAATTCCTTTCATCAAACTTAATATAATACAACAGGAGTTTGGGCATAATAATTCATTTTAATATTAATATAAAATCAAGCACAAGTTCTGGAGTCTGATTACTTTGGTACATGAACACATTGAAAGATTTAAAATTAAATTTTAATTTTGTGTCCTCCATATTAAAATGGAACATATTTTCAGATGAGTGGGAGAAATAATGATTTAGCAACACTCTGAGGGCAGCAGAGATGGCTCAGCAGTTAAAAGTGTATACTGGTCCTGTATAAGAACTAAGTTCTGTTCTCAGCACCCACAGTGAGCAATCCGCTACCTCCTGTATCACCATCTCCAGGATATCAGATGCATCTGGCCTCCATAGACACCTACACCCATGTGCATCTAAACACACACACACACACACACTCTCTCTCTCTCTTAAAATAAACAATGTCTGAAACACACAGAGAACTTTGGAGATGACTTTCAAATTTGAAAACAATCCTAGCTCTCAGTTGTCTATATGAGAAATGATCTGCTATTTGAAAATAGTATTTGACAGATTTGAAGCGACAACTAAATAGGATTGGAGGGCTGTCTTTCATATGACAGAGGACTCACTGAAGAGATGACAATGACATGTCTGACATGTATGACTGGGCCATCAGTGGGTACAGAGGTCCTGGGGCAGCAACATGCCTTCATATTCCAGGCGGAGTAAGGAGCCATTGAGGCTGGGATAGATGGAGAGATTGAGGTCAGAACCGAGGTTGAGCCTGTCAAGCAACCAGATATGCACAACTTTGGATGACACTAGGTATCTTGATTTCATTGTACATCAGATGAGACTTTAAAGGACTCTGAAGAAAGAAATGGCAGGAATGGGACTTTCTTCCCACAGCAGTATTAGAGCTACTAAATTCAGTACAGATGAAAAGCAACAGGGGCAGAAGCAAAGAGAACTTTAAAAGGCTAGAGTGATAGTTTAGGTGGGGAATGATGGTGATTTGAAGCAATGCAGATGGGAAAGTCTGAGCTTCTGTGTTTATGCTTCAAATAAAGAGAATCTCCAGATAGGGTAGATGTATCTTGTAAGAGGAGTGGAATTGAATGGCTAAAAGCTTCAGCATGTGTCACTTGAAGGCAGAGAGTGAAATAGTGATGGACAAGATGAGACTCGTGCTTAGGGGGTAGCCATCAAAAGTTGGATTTGGAGCGTACTGAGTTTGAGATGCCGATGGGAATTTTGAGAAGCCTTCTAACCAGCTCTGGATTTGGGGAGAACAATAAAAAGAGGTTGTAAAGAAAATGACAAGAATTGGAAATTATTAAGCTAAAGGTAGAAAAAGACAAGAGATCTCAAACTGAAACTTGGAGTTATGACTTTCTCCATGTCAGTAGATTGGGAAGGAGAAAACCCAGAATCACCGTGATGGATGCCCGTGTAACCTTAGTGCTCTGGAGGCTGAGGCAGGAGGGTCACTGCCAGCTTGAGGACACATAATGAATTCCAGGCCAGTCTAAGATGCATAGTGAGAACCTACCTCAAAACAGAGCAAACAAAGCAAAACAAACAAGAAAGACTAAAAGCAGAGGCAGGAAGTAGATGGAGAGAGAGCACTGGGGCAGTATTAATAATCTTCTGTGGGCACTGACATCACACAGCCATGCCCCTTTGAACCCTCAGGGGGACCTCGTGACCTTTGGGTCTTCACTCACTTTTTCTTCGTTTCTCATTCTTGCACTTACCACCTATTCTTCCTGGCTTTGAATGGCCTCATTGGTAGGCTTGACTTCGTGAGTGTAAAATGCATTTTTTTTTGAAACTGTCAAATGTAATTTTGAAATTCATCGGTTGGATGGAATGGGTGACCAACTTAGTTAATATTGTTTTTGATCAAAAATTAGGCATGGCCATTGAAAAAAGTCACCCAGATCACTGTGAGATTTACATGCCAGATCTGAAAGCAATTTCAACAGGCATTCTTCTAAATTGTTTTGAGTAATAAAAACATTATTGAAACAAATAGGTCATTTCCAAAGGGACTGTTTTCATGGCTAAAAAGTAGACAATAAATTTATATAAACTCTTTAGACTTAGCAATATTTCTTACTATTCTTTTTTGTCACATGATGATATAGATGATCAAGAGCCATGAACACACATGTAGCCATAAATAATATTTGATGGAATCCTCATGTACCAGTGTAAAAATTTCTGGAGCAACTGCTACTCTGATTTACAACAGTTTTCTTACTCAAAACAATGGAAAATAATTACTTCATTTTGAGACAGAGATTTTTAGTTTATCAGGCTGGCCCCAAATGCGCTACATAACTGGGAATGACCTTAAGCTTCTGATACCCCTGCCTCTGTCTCCCAAGTGCTAGGATTTCAGATGTGTGTCACCACGCCTGCTTTAGGCAGTGCTGGAGACTGAACCTCGGCAAGGACTCTATTGATGGTGCTACATTTTCAGGAAGTTATTTTAATAAATAAAACATCTACTAAACCTTGAAAATATGTGTTCAGATATTTCAAGACCTGACAACTGTGAACACTACAGATTTAGTGAGAAACGTCCTGGACTCTCTGGCTAACATTGTCTTCTAAAGGATGCATCCCCTGCAAGTTATGCCAATTCCTTGTTCACTGAATAAATATTTATTAAATGTAGTGTGTACCAGACACATGTCATGTGGTGAGGAGATTGCTGCCTTAGATCCTTCCAAACACACCCTGAAAGACTTACATGCACAAGGAATAGAGCCGCAACTGAGTTAGCTTAGTGCACGTCATGAGTTTGTCTCTGGTAGCCATGTCACGTGCAGGGCCTGTTTGGAGGAGCTAGTGAAGCTTAGTTCCCCTTTCTGTTCACTATGCCCACACTGAGTTCATTTTATTACTTGCCCCATGACACAGAAAGCTTTCTGGCCTCCCAGAGAATTAGCATCCTTTGTTAGGTGGTGATCTCCCTTTCTCCATATCTCTCTGATTTTAATTCTTAATGAAGCTCTTCTGTAGGCCTCAGAGGAAAGGTTCACCTTGCCTTTAAAGTTCCATCACATTTAAATCTCCATGTATTGTAACATTTCTGTCTAATTTGCTCCCTCTCACCTTGAAGCTGGATCATGGCCTTGAAACACTTCCATTCAAATAAACCTTGCTTCTGTTTAACACAATGGGAAACCTGCCAAGAATTCCTAGACAGGGTTGCTGTGTTGATGTAGGTTCCCTGACAAAGAGAGACCGCAAAGAGTGGGATAACTACCTACTTCCTCTAGGTACAGACTTTGAAATAGGACTACAGCATCAAGAACAACCAGGGAAGGGCTGGGAAGGTGGCTCAGTGGGTAAAGGGCCTGATGCTCAAACATGCGATCCTGAGTTCAGGTCCCAAGCATCATGATAAAAGTTGGATCGGCAGCATGATTCTATCACCCTGGTTCTAGGGAGGTGCATAGCTCCCTGTTGCTCACTGGTCAGCCAGTCCAGCCAATCGGTGAGTTACAGATTGAATGAGAGATCCTTTCTCAAAAAGTAAGATGGAGATTGATAGAAGAAAATGTCTGACTTCTAGCCTCCAAATGTGATTGCACACATGTATTTGTGAATACACACACACACACAGATACACACACAAGAAAGCATCAGGATAACAGAATGTCATTGAATAGAAAAAAACTAAGATGTCAGTTAACAATGAAAGAAACAAAGATGAAATGTTTGGCATAAAAGAAAACAAATTTAAAAATGCTGTTTCAAGGACATCCAGCAAACACCCAAGATAACAAAGTCCCATTTTTCCTTGAAGAGAAAGAAATACATCTAAACAATGACATAAAAAGGTGATGACTAAGATCATAATGCAAAAGTAAAAATAAAGATACAGTGAGACTTTTGGGTGGAAACTTCCAGAAGCTGTTAGCTTTACAGAGACAGAAGATAGGAGCTAGGGTGCCACACAGTAAGAGAGAGTAGGTCTTCCTCTGAGCTCAGTCAGATGAGCCACAGAAATTTTTGGAAACCAGTCTGTTTCTCCCCCGCACCAAGCCATTCCTGCTTTCTCAGAGACTATTCACAGGGTTTTCCTAGACCTTCATTTGGCGTATAGGCCCGTGTTCATTAGATGACTTTCCCTGTGAGATTCTGTAGCCTTTACACTAAAGATCATGTTCAAACTGAGACAAAAACAATGCCGTTGGCTGCTTGGTCCTCATTTAAACTTGGCTGTTAGACCCATTTCTGTTGCAGAATATTCCTTTATACTGTGTGAAGACGTATCACTGTGCTTGGTTTAATGAAAAGCTAAGCAACCAACAGCTAGGCAGAAGGTATATGTGGGGCTTCTGGTCAGAGAGAACTCTGGGAAGAAGAAAGGCAGAGTCACCAGGCAGAGGCGGAGGAAGCAGGAAGGACAGAATGGAGATGAGGTAATGAGCATAATGAGTGAAAGATGCAGATTAAAAAAAATAGTTAAATTTAAGTTATAAGAGCTTAGGAGCAAGCCTAAGCTAAGGCTGAACTTTCATAATAAGTCTCTGTGTCATTACTTGGGAACTGACTGGCGGAACAGAATCAGACTCATTATGCATCTCCTTTACTAATGCCGACACTAATGGCCCAGACCAGAGGAGGTGGATGGTCTGTTTAATGGAGGGCGTCTGGTCTCTTTGGACATGGGAGTAACTTACGATATTTTTCATGTGTTTCACCAGGATGGTGAGCTTCGAGTCCTCGTATGTCATCAGTAACTGTACTTTAGGGTTATTGTCTGAATATTTCTCACCTGAAAGAAACAGGGAGTGTTAGTTAAATCAGAACTATCTCAGCACAGAATTTATGAAGACTTTAAAGATGAAACAGGCAGGACCAGCAGAAGAAGGTGATGGGAACTTTCTTCAGGTGATGTTGAAATATTCAGAAAGTTCAGGACCCTGGATGCTTAGTCAGAGGTGACCTAGCTCTCTTCCTAATAGTCCATTCCAGCTTTCATTGACACAGTTATTTAAACAGCTATTTAAAGTTAAGACCTCCATGTACCTTTTAGTTGTTGCTTCTCTCACTAGCTGATGACCTGATTAAAAACTGGAGGTCAGAAACTGAGCATGATCTTTAAGATAAATTTTATTTTAAATTGTGTGCCTGTATGTGTGCATGTGTGTACTTGTACGTGTGTGTGTGCGCGCACACACACACACACATACATAATCACACATGAATGCAGGTGCCCATAGTGCATTAAATATCCTGGACCTGAAGTTACAGGCTGTTGTGAGCCACAGAAATGGATGCTGGGACCCAAACTCAGATTCCCTGGAAGAACAGTAAGTGCTCATACCTTCTGTGACATCTCTTCAGTTCAATGGTCTTTAGAAATCTGTCAATCTGGTCTTGGGACCCAGCTCTGCTACCTCAGACTTTCACTGTGACTAAGCTAATCAACTTTCTGTGGCAAGTGACTTACTTCTGGGTAGCTGAGGTGACTAAGTGATGAAATCCAGGGGTTTGTGGTGTGGTGAGCACGCAAAGACACTCGGAACTGCTCAGAGCCATCCTGCATTACACTCACCCCTCTCTGTCCTGGGGTCTCATAGAAACTAATTTAGATCCAGCTGGGTGGTGGTGGCACACACCTTTAATCCTATCCCTGGGCAGGCAAAGGCAGGTGGATCTCTGTGAGTTCAAGGCCAGCCTGGTCTACAGAGCCCAGACTTCAAATCTGTTTGTTTCCAGTGCTTATTGCTTTCTACAGCAGTGTTGATAAAACCAATCTTTGGATCAAAGTGTCCTTTTTTACTTTAAAAATTCATTTTTATTTTGTTGGTGGGTGAATGCATGCCATGGAGCCAGGTAAAAGGTCAGAGGACAACATGTGGGAATCGATTCTCTCCTTCTGCCATGTGGGTTCCAGGGATTGAACCCAGGGCACCGTGCTTGGTAGCAAGGCTCTTCACCCTCCAACTGGCACCAAAATCACTTTGTATTGGTGTTTATTAATTTATTTTATTCCCCACTATCATTTTATTTTGTAACTCACATATTTAGCCCTTAAAACATTCTTTGCTATGTTCTTCAGTTTTCATTTTATTTGCTTCCATTAAAATGCTCTTGACCATCATTTTTTGGTTGTTGAACTGTTATCCTTTTCCAAAGTCTGACCAAAAAGTGAAATATTTTTGGTCTACTGTGCCTTGAACACTCTTGGCACAACCCGTGTCAGTTCATACCTGCAGTTATTTTACAGGTAGTGTAGCCGACTTAGATCTATCTCGCACCTACTTCTCTGCCTCCAAAGGACAGATTCGGCTATTTGTTTTAGAGCACACACATAAGGTGTTTATTCAATAACAAGGTAACATCAGTTTTACCTTGAACTACATCATTATGTCAATAATATAAATACTTTAGTTTTTAAACTGAAAAGTTCTGCTTTTTTATCCAAGGATTAAGCATAGATTATTGCATGTCTAATGATCCCCCCTGCTAGTCTCCGGTGTACAGATGCTAAAGAAAGTTAGAGGATAAAGAGTTATTGAAAACAAAAATGTCAGTGTTCAATTCCAGATGCCTTGCAGCTCTCTTTGTTTTCAGATGGTTAATCCGAATGCTCTTGTTTTTTCCAGGAGGATGAGATTGCACCAGCAGCCTGAGTCCTTCCTGCATTCCTTGCTCATGATTACTAGAACAGGTTATTCATCACATGTAGGTGATAGTAGCTTTATTAGCAATTAATTGAGTTCATAGATAATAATGTGGATTACTGATATTTAAAAGAGAGCTTCTTTGAAGCAAGAGGACATCTGTTACATAAATACATTAAAAGTCACTTAAATATCCCCATTATAGTGATTGAGGAACACTGTAAGTTGATTCGCACTGAAGCAAGTGACATTTCCTAATAAAAAAAAATTAGTGAATCCTAGGTATAAAGGTGCTAAAAATACTGATGACTTTTTAATTCACGATGAATATTATATTTGAATTAAGGGGTGAAGGAATTATTAAATAGAAACCCAATGTATTTAATGAGTGAAGTTTTAATTAAGGGTAGGAAATTATCATAAATTAATGATGGAGTGTGTGAACAGTAAAAGTATGATTGCTGCAATCTCTGACTGACAGTGATGCTCTCCTCTGGCTAGGACTCTAGTGTGGCTCCCCTCCTTCCCCTTGGTCCCTTGCTCACCCATGAGGGCAAAGGGGGCAGAAGTGGCAGGATGGTCCTTGTCTGGCCTGTGAACATGATGGGAATATCCTCAGCTCAACTTAGTCCAGAGTATAGGAGATATGTAGAGTTGGGGACGGTAACTGGGGAATCACCTAATTTGCATTGAGTGGCATGCTCCTATCATATAGCTGGATTAGTAGTAGCATGGCCTTATTAAAGTAGCTAGAGTATGTCACCTAATTACCATAAGGTAGCAGGGGAAGAGCACTTGCAGGGAACTGTGTCAGGGGTCACAGTAGAGAAAAGTCAGGCATCCGGGCTTAGAGACATTCTCTGAGTAAGATCAGATAGAGAACAGGAAATTCTCTGCTGGGAATTTTGCCAACAATTTTTGTTCCATTTTGCCAAGCTTGAAGAGAGCTTGCCAGGCCATCGTAGACGGCAACCTCTGACCATTAGGGCCTCCCAACACTCTACAGAGGGATTGTTATCCAGAGATTGCATCATAGCATTGGGAAGTTCAGAACCCCAGAAAAATCAGGGTCACTAGGAATTCTTAACAGCTAATAGGCAAGTAGCAGATTGAGAATGTGCCAGCCTATGGGAGGCATTCCACTACATTCTCACAGCCAAACCTACATAGTTGGTTTCATCTGCTTTACACATGTGGAAACTGAGGCACTTCCTCCAAAGTCAGGCAGATCAGAAATGGTGGGTTCCAGGTGCTCACAGGAGCTGTGTTTACCTGAATAAGATCTGTATTAGGTGGAGTCAGTTGAAATTCCAGTATGGTTGGGAGACCCCCAAGGCCACAATCCTCAGCTGAGGAACTATTGCCAATTGGGGGAGGAGGGAGAGTCACTTGTCTTTTATGGGTGTGGCCACTGGTTGTTTGCTCAAGCCCTCAGTATTGCTCCATACCCATACATGTATGGGACCACTAACTGGTATCAACAGGTTGTGAGAGTAAAGGAGAGAGTTGGGAAGAGGCTGGTTATACCAGGGAAGCCTCAAGAGAAGTAAAGGGGGAAGTGGATGGTGGATATGATTAAGGCACACTACATGCATGTATGAATTTTTCAAAGAATAAATTAAAATACTATCTAAAAAAATAAATGGACAGAAAAGAAAAAAACAAAGTGCAGGATTAAGTGATCTCCAGGACCATATCTATAAACATCATGCTGTAACTGGAAAAATGAGAGCCACAAGCATAAAAGAAAAAGTTTAAATAAAGAGCTTGGGAAAAGCTAGATGTGAAGAAAGGGATGCTGGAATTCTGACCACTGTGGGGATTTACAGGGCGTGCTGGATTCCTTACTCAGTCCTGATAAGGTATTATTCACCTCCAGTGTTTCTGTCTTGAAACCCTGAACTAGCAAATACTTTACTTCCTATTTTCATAAAAAGTAGTATTTTGAAGTTTTTAATAAGACAAGTTATTCTCATGATTAAATGTGACAAATGACTTTTAAAGTTTGAAGTAAAAAGTCTTCCCATGTCTAACATGTATTGCTCCATAAAAGCAAAGGTATATGCAATTTCTCTTCTCCATTGTTGACAAAGACCGTGGCGTATCACTCTTCTGCACAAAGTACTTATGGATATTTTTGCATAGATATTACAAAAATAGCTTTTAGTTTTTAAAGTATAGCTTCCACTCTATGGGAGTATTGTAATTTATTTAATGAGTTCCACATAATGGGCAGGTGGGTCTTTCCTGATGACGTGTAGGCTTTGCGAACTATGTTTCAGGGGACAGCCTCACAGCTGTCCAGGGTGCCAGCTGGCGAATATCAGAGCAAAAACTCAGTAGCAGAATTTGCTGGTCAGAACCTATTTGCCTGTGCAATTCTGATAAATATTGCCAAATTAACTTCCACGGTGCTCGTACCGATTTATATTACCACCAGCAGCACATCAGAGGCCTGCTGATTTGCAACCAATATGCTAATTAAATTGTTTTTTTTTTTTTTTTTGCCAATCTGATGAGAGAGAAAGAAGATCGGTGAGGGGAACCCATGTCATGTATGTAATTTAATTTGTATTATCTTCTGAATGAGGCTGTGCATCTTCTCACTGGTCAAGAGCCACTTGTGTTTTGTGTACTTATCTTTCATAGTCCTAATTTTCTTATCCATTTCTAGAGGATGATTATATGCTATGTGAACAAATCTTAAGGATGAATCAGCAATATTTCATCTACCTTGCCACTCATTCTTACATTTCCTTTTTACTTTGCTGTTGTGTTAGGAGCGGCGAGGCTACATTGTGGTACGAGCAGCAGGACTATGTTCCTGGCACCCGGCCGCCCGCATGGCAGGCTGCGTCCCGCCACCTGGCTAGCTTTACCGAAAATAATTACACGGAAACTGTATTTTTTTAAACACTGCCTGGCCCATTAGTTCTAGCCTCTTATTGACTAGCTCTTACATATTAATTTAACCCATTTCTAATATCCCTGTAACACCACGAGGTGTCTTTCCAGGGAAGATCTTAACCTGCATCTGTCTGGAGTGGGAGAATCATGACTCCTGACTCAGCTTTCTTTCTCCCAGCATTCTGTTCTGTTTACTCCACCCACCTATGGGTTGGCCTATCAAGGGGCCTAGGCAGTT